ACTCAGTATTCATCAGAAATTAACTTTGACTTTCGTCTATGGAAAAATGTGAATAATGTGCCAAAGTATTGAATAATGAATACTCTGCCAAAGGCTCATTGAGTTAGCAATATCTATATTTATTTTTCTGTGTCTCTTCTGACAGCAAGTCCATGCATAGTGGAAACTAATTTTGTTCCTTGACACAAACCCACACACTTTTCTGAAGTGGCTTTGCTTCCTGCTGCAAGAAAACTACAGGAAGAGCGGTGACATTTTTGAAATCCGACAGTAGTGTCTGAAACGTAGACAGGTTCACCATTGCTTAACAGGAAAACAAACTTGTAAGCTTCCTGGCATCTGTTTTGAGGCTTGACAGGACACTCTATAGTAGGCTATAAATAAAGAGAAAAATACAGATTGAGCAGAAATGACAGCCACTCCAAAAGCCCAGTGCTATAAGACCAGGAAAGCATGATGGGCTAAAACCAGCCAAACATGGGGGTCACCCTCTGGTAATGTCGCCCATACTGCTCATGACAAGATCACAAATGTTTTGTTTTTTACAGACGTTTTCATGTTCAGTACAACCAGGGAGGTTATTTATGGAGTATAATTAATTCATACATGAAAACAGATGTAGAAGTGGTCTCTTGTGAGATGAGGAATGTTTTGTTTTCTAAGTGTCTCATTTAGCAATGCATACCTCCTTTGTATAGGTTATCATAATGAGAACATTGACTGGTTATAAGTATTTCTTGTTATCCTTATCCATAATTACTATTATGGAATGGTTTGCGGCTATCACATTCAAACATACAGCATGTCAATGGTTCTCAGTATTTTTAACTTTGTCACTTTTTTGTCCAAGGCAATATTCAAAGGCCCTCTTATCTAATTTGATGGGATATCTTTTTAATGTTGTACACAAAAAAACAGAGTTTCTTATGTGCCTAGTGTATATAAAAGCACAGAATCATCTGAAATGCTGCACAGAGGCCTTAAGGCTAAAATTAATTTTAGTTTCAACTGCACTGTTTCGTGAAGGGACACCAGTGACCATCCAGCCTTACTTGGTGCCCTAGGCAAGAAAAGTTATGACCACAGGTGAAAACAAAACAAAAAATAAATAAATAAATAAACAAATAAATATACACACACACACACACAGGTTTACATTTGTGAAAAGTGGGGACATCCCATAGGCGTAATGGTTTTTATACTGTACAGACCATATATTCTATTGCCCTTTACCAACCCTACCCCTAAACCTACCCCTTACAGGAGACTTTGTGCTATTTCAGATTTTCAATACACTCCATTCTGTGTGATTTATAAGCGTTTTGAAAAGTGGGGACATGGGGTAATGTCCTGAAAAGTCACCTTCTCCTTGTAATACCTATGCCATACCTTTGTCATTATACAAATTTATGTCCTCATTTGTCACAAAAACGCATACACACACACACGCACACACACACACAACATAGTGTTAGTGTTTCAGAATAATGTATAGGCTATATTTCTTAATCTTCAGTGTAAAGATCCTCAACAGATCATCTGGAGCTGATTATACAAATAGGAAAAAACAAGAGAATGTCTTTTGTAACTGTATAACAGTCCCTTTAGCTCAAACATTACAGTGTGGTGTTAGCAACACCAAGGTTATAGGTTTGATTGTCAGGGAATTCAAGAACTTATGTGTTCCCTGAATGCAATTAGATATAATTATCTGCCAAATGCATAAATGTAAATAAAAGTACAAGATAATCTTAAGAAGTGGTTTTCAACAGCTGAAGATAGATGTAGGGTGCAGATCTGACACAGTTGCAAGAAGCAAGGAAGAAAAATGCAAATGGTAATATGCAATGAACCACATAATTGTGGATAGTTAGGCTTATCAACTTTTAAATGGGAGGAGAAAATGCTTCCCATCTTTTGACTGTGCATCTGGTTAAACTATAAGCTATTTTAGTGCAAATTAATTTCTGACTTGGTAGAAGCAACAGCCAAATTAATTGTCAGTTACCAATGGAATGCATGACATGCCATCATCTTCAAAAACCATGAGACAAAGGAACAAAAGACAGAAGGACAAAGAAAATGCCACATTAAATATGCATTACAGGTTTGTTGTGTTGAGTTGCACCTTGATGTCCAATGTAAAATCTGAGAATTGATCTATTTATCTGCTATTTTAGAATGTATCTAAAATATATTATAACTTAAGATATATCACAAAACTTAACAAATGTATTGTGACTGAAAGTATGTGTGTGAGAAATGCAGAGAGCAAGAGGAGAGAGAGACATTCATATTAACATGTTAATGATGCCTCAAACCATCTGTTTGATGATGGAGGAAATCTCTGCGCTCATTCGTTCTCTCTCTCTAGTGGCTATAGGCTTCAGGGAGAACACCGCAATGCTTGTGTGTATAAGTCCATATGGAGCTAATGTTGCATGAGAAACTGGCATCTTAAGTGGTTTTTAATCACAACACTGACATCCAAATAGCTACAGGTTGCAAACGGAAGACTTGTAGAAAGAAAGATGAGAGAAGAATAATTAATTTAAAATGAAAGGTCTGCCATCCTTTACTCACCCTCATGCCATCAAACCCATATTACTTTTTTTTCCTACCGCAATAGGAGATGTTAGGCAGAATGTTCACACTGATTTTTTCAGTACAGTCAAAGTGAATGGTGAATCAGGGATTTTAAACTGTCACCAAAAGCACCATATAATCATCATAAAAGTCATAAAAATCCATCATAAAAATCCAAGTCTTCATGGTCAAAAATACCAGAATTTAAACTGTAGTTTATTAATAATATTTTCCTGCAACAGTTCTCAAATCACATCAAAATGTGTATCGTCAGATCTGATGTCAGTGAAGCCAAATATTATTGGTTCTTGTGTCTCATAACTGATTTGTCATGCAAATCAGTAGATTTGGAATTAGTGCCTTAGTCATGTAGAATAGCCACTGTAAAAAAAAAAAATGGGTTGTAATTTTACCTGTAAAGAAAAACACTGTAAAAATGCTGAAGTAAAATTCTGTTAACTTATTATATACAGTGGGTACGGAAAGTATTCAGACCCCCTTAAATTTTTCACTCTTTTTTATATTGCAGCCATTTGCGCTGTATTCGATCAAAAGGGTGCTTCTACTAAATACTGAGCAAAGGGTCTGAATACTTAGGACCATGTGATATTTCAGTTTTTCTTTTTTAATAAATCTGCAAAAATGTCAACAATTCTGTGTTTTTCTGTCAATATGGGGTGCTGTGTGTACATTAATGAGGAAAAAAAATAACTTAAATGATTTTAGCAAATGGCTGCAATATAACAAAGAGTGAAAAATGTAAGGGGGTCTGAATACTTTCCGTACCCACTGTATATCACACCTCGTGGACTGTTTGTTGTGTTTTCCCTCTTGTGCCCATATTTGGTTGTTCCTGTTCTCATTTTGTCATTATTAGTTCATCCTCCTCACCTGTTTGTCCCTCGTTAGTCACCCTACTTTAGGTTCCCTCTCTGTACTGGTCCTTGTTGGCTATTAGATTGTTGCATGGAGCTTGTGTTTCCCTGTATTTGGATTAATCTTCACCTTCTTAGATTGTGATGAAACGTTATATTGAACTATCGTCGTCTTCACGAGTGTTTCATCTACAAGTGCATGACAATAAGGGGAAAAAAAGAATAGATCTAACCTTACATTTCACGTAATTTAACAGTAAAATACTGTTAAATGTATCATTTTTGGTAAAACAAGTCATATACATTTCTGTGAAAAAAAAATCCCCTGTGCAATGTTTCACATTTGATGGTATTTATTTTGGTAACACTTTAGTATAGGGACCAATTCTCACTATTAACTATTTTCTTATTAGTATTAATAGCATATTGGCTGTTTATTAGTATTTAGAAAGCACAAATTCTGCATAACCATATTCTACATCCCTAATCTTGCCCAATACCTAAACTTAACAACTACCTTACTAACTATTAATAAGGAAATTAGGAGTTTATTGTGGCAAAAGTCGTAGTTAATGGTTGGTTAATAGTGAGAATTGGACCTTAAAATATAGTGTGACCTTCATTTCCTAACCAGGGTTCCCTTTTGAGGAAACTTTGATGTTGCATCATGGTGTTGATGCTATGGGAACACAGGTGTCTAAAGCATGTTTAGAAACATGACAAATTCTTTAGGCAGACGACAGTCCTACGAATGTTGATAGCTCTTGAGGGGGCTGGCAGCACTGTATCATTGTAATTAAATCACAGTAAAGAAGCTCCACTCCCACTTGGCACTTTCTCAAGGAATGGAGGTCAAGCATCTGCACACCTAGGTTTAGGCCCTGTGTCTGTTGAGGCAGTATGGTGGCAAATATGTAAGTTTAATGGTTTCAAAAGCAGCAATGTTACCACTTCCATGCTGAGAAATATCATGCGTTTCAGTTGCAAAACTACTTCATTGATAAAGTTGCAGGGCATCACTGACAAATTTCTGTGCACTTGTCTGATCCACATGTGCGCAAAACTGTCAGTCTGTACTGTAGGTGTGTGCGTTTATGTGAAAAAAAATGCGTGAGAAAAAAAGTGATTTTTAGATATTAAACTTTTGAGCGGTACGGTCCCACATATGGGAGTTTTATTTCCGTGCCCCTGGGAGTCCGGACCCACATATAGGATTTAGAATGTTTGGTGACGTCACATAACTGCCAAATGCAAACTGTGGTTTTGTGTGTTGGCTGGTGCTGAGCCAGAGAGAGAGAGACGTGCACTGCGCTTGTCATATTATAACAACTATGCAGTGTTCTTAACCACATAATGCATATTTTAGGTTTCAGCCATTTAAATACACATAAGTACTAGTAAAACAATACATTGTTACACACAGATGTCTATTGAAGAAACATAACAATCCATTCAAATTTAATTTGTTTTATTCATATCAGATACACACAGTGTAAGTAACTATAAAGTTCACTCTATTCTTCACCTAGTTCACCGGTTACTTACTTACATGTATTTCGGGAGAAACTGATGAATTCACATGCTGTAAATCCGACTGACAGGACTCTGAACTGCGATGTGAACAAACATGGCTACGCCCATCTCACGTTACAGATCACGATCAAGATCATTTATAGACCGCTAGAATATTTTAAACTCACCAGTCAAAGGGTTAAAACATAATTTTGTCTGGAAAACATTGCAATCATTTGTCATTTTTATCCTATTATTTGTTATATTTGTTTGCTTGGTAAATATCTTTTTGAGTTTTGTTTCTTTTGCTGTTACCCCATAAAAGAAATAGTAATTTCGGTTACAATTTATTTCGATAGTCCACTTTAGACATTCTATTAACTACAAGTAACTTTGTAACTACATGTCAACTACATGTCAACTAATTCTCATTAATTTGCAACTACATGTCTACTAACTCTCAGAGTAGACTGTTAGGGGATGTTTAGGGTTAGTAGAATAAGTTGACAAAGAAAGTGTTAGAAGACATTAAGCAGACAGTCTACTAATACTCTACTAACTGCTAGTTGACATGTAGTTGCAAAGTTACTTACTGTTAATAGAATGTCTAAAGTGGACTATCGAAATAAAGTGTTACCGTAATTTCTTTCTCCTCATTGTAATTGAGCCCCCCTGGATGTGCGAGCATAGGCATGTGCCTAAAATCCCTATGCGTAAATTTGTTCCTCCCAGCTCTTCACACTGAGGTGTCAAAGTCGTGGAGCAACCCATGTTCGGCTTTCATTCTGACTTCATAGCATTACAATTATTCAAAAGTTGATAGACTGTGCGATCAGGGATACACTAGGATGAGGCGTCCTCACTGAAGGCTCTGGTAGACCACCTCACAGCTTGTGGGCAAGGCTTATGAGGCGGAGGGTCAGGCTGATGATACCCTTCACACTATCAGGCTAACCTGCTTATAGACCTGGACCAGGGTCCTGAGGCTGTCACTGACCAAAGATTTAGATCTCCAGGCCACTAAAAAGATGGCTGCTGCCATTAGCCACTCAATGGTGGCAATGGTGGAAACAGAGAGACATCTGTGGTTCCATATATTGGGGATAAAGGAGAAAGAGAAGAGCATTCTCCATATTGCCCTGATCTTACCCTCTGGCCTCTTCAGAACTGCTGTTGAGACGTGATGGAGAGGCAAGGACATAGTCCGCAGCTTTCTGAAGATATAGTCCACTTGCCGCATAAGCCTTCTTCTTCCAAGCCTTCCAACCAATCACCAGAAATTAGTTCCTGGAGACAGGGCCAGAAGTATGCATGTCTGCCGGGATGCAATGTGCCAGAAAGAAGAGACAAGACCTCAGGGAGGTCTTTACAAAAGAGAGGTTGAGGGAGCAGGGTCATTAAATAAAAAAAATTTAAATAATTTGAGGTCGACACAAAGTGCACTTTTCCAGTGTATCAAGCTCAGAGGTGTTGGTGTAAACAACTATGTTGGCACACTTCCTGAAGGTTCGCAAGGAATGGGCGAGTTGATAGAATGTACTGTAAGTGGGTTTGATTGCAGGCATCCCACCTTATCATCTGTAGCCACCTCCAGTGTGGGAGGTGAACTCACGGTGATAATAGCAACAATTGCCGAGATAGTAGATAGATGTACAGGGATGGAAGCAGATTTGATTGCTTCCATTTATCAAAGGTAAGTATTACTTAAGAGTATGGAAGCTTTGGGGGTTTTCCCTAGCACCTGTGGTCACTGGCTTTCTAGCCATTTCACAGGTCACACAGGGTGCATCTCTGAGGATGTTGATGCTTAGTACTCAACTTCGGGTCTAGGCGCATGGAGTTGCCTGCCCGTCTTGATGACATGATAATGCAGGCGAAATTTTATAGGCACAAGTGCTCCATGTGGATGTCATAGGTTCCCATAGTGTCACCACCATGGCACAGTGTCTCGTTCCCACCTCAGGGAACCGGGTTAAATACATAACCCTAAGATGTTATTATAATTAACTAAAACTGAAACCATAAAATAATTTTAGTTACCTAAATGAAATAAACTTATATTAAACATATATTATTTTAGCTAGTTGCCAAGTCAACATTTAGTATTTTCATTTAGGTCCTTATTAGCATCTTGATGTACTAAAATAACTAAAATTAAAACTGAAAAAATAAATAAATAATGGAAACTATATGCTCTAGTGAAAAATGTATATACTAAAATGTATCTGAAATACATTTATTTCATGCTAAGTACACTACAAATACATTTACATATTTATGTGCTTACAGTTTTTCTCAATCGATTTGAAACATTTCTCCAAACTCTCAGTCTCAGTTCTCAAGACACAGTGTTAACACAAGTTAACACAGTGATCCTAACACTTTGTAATTGTCCTAAACAGATTGTACATTTCATACAAATTACAAATCATGCGCACTGTGCACAAAACTGTCAAATGTTTTAATAATAGCTCACGCAACCAACCAATACTTTAAAATATTAAAAAAAGCAATTGTAGCTTCATTATTGGTTTTACAAAAATCACAAATATTTATGTACCATTTGTCCAAACAAAACTCTGTCATTTGTCATTCAATCAAATGAACATGGTATATTTTTAATTGGCCCTAAAACTGATAACTACTCGGTTAATCATACACTCAACACTGGAAATGTAGTTTTTCTAATCATTTACACATTTATCACAATTGCTTTAGAGTAATAATAAAAGGGAAAGCATACAAAGAGCACAAAAGAATATGCAAATAAAAATAAATAAATACATTAAATAAATAAATAATAATAAAATAAAATTACTATTCCTTCAAGCCACATCCTCCTTTTTGTGAATTTGATTTCTTTTGGGAAATCTTTTTTTTTCTTCTGCATCTAGAACATTCTGTATGACCTTCAGAGATTGGAGTCTTTTCATCCTGCATTCAAACTCTAATTCACAGCTCTTTGTGACTTCCAGCACAAGTGCTAATTGAACTAGCAGCAGAGTGTCTTTCACCTCCCGCTACACAACTGCTCTTGAGATAAAAGCCAGCAGATATGAGAGACTAGATATGCTTCTCTCTTCCATGCACAGTTCTGATGAGAATTTGTTGTTGTCATTTACACAGGAAGCAGGAGTCTCCTGTGAGATTATGGCCTACCTAAATTGGAGCAACAGTAAGATGTCATATTTATTTGAGATATCAAGGATAAAACATGGGCTTAACACACACAGTGCTTTCAGATCCACTATAAGACCCGACAACTGAAATGAAGATCTCTCTTGGCATGAGAAAAACATAAACACTAATGCATTTCTCACAACCCCGTCTGAACAGAGTCTAGCAAACAGAAAGAGAACCTCTTTCTGATAAACAGAATGAAAAATAATTGAATTAGAATGCAATGGAAGCTGAAAGGAAATGGAACAGAATGACATCAAGCTTGAATTAAATGGAATAGGCCTTGACAGAAGGTGCCCTTTTTTCAATTCTGGTATAGTTTTCTGTGTTTTATGATAGAGTTTTCGGAGGGGAAAACAGGCCAGATGACTAAAGGGTGACTAAGGACACCAGTAAAAGTGCAATGTGTCTGGAGAGTATCATTATATCACAGTAATAATTGTTTTAGCATATACGTGATGGCTGTCTATTCTGCAATTTCAAAATGACCATTCAGTGCATTCAGTGTTTAGTATTATTTATATACTATTGAATTAGCTTTTATTTTTTATATTTGTAGTTTTTTTTTTAGCTTTTATTCAATTTGCTTTTATTTCCGTTTTTTAAGTACTTCAACTGAAACATATTTTATTTCAGTTTGTCGCCAAGGCTGAAATGAAGATCTCTCTTGGCATGAGAAAAACATAAACACTAATGCATTTCTCACAACCCCGTCTGAACAGAGTCTAGCAAACAGAAAGAGAACCTCTTTCTGATAAACAGAATGAAAAATAATTGAATTAGAATGCAATGGAAGCTGAAAGGAAATGGAACAGAATGACATCAAGCTTGAATTAAATGGAATAGGCCTTGACAGAAGGTGCCCTTTTTTCAATTCTGGTATAGTTTTCTGTGTTTTATGATAGAGTTTTCGGAGGGGAAAACAGGCCAGATGACTAAAGGGTGACTAAGGACACCAGTAAAAGTGCAATGTGTCTGGAGAGTATCATTATATCACAGTAATAATTGTTTTAGCATATACGTGATGGCCGTCTATTCTGCAATTTCAAAATGACCATTCAGTGCATTCAGTGTTTAGTATTATTTATATACTATTGAATTAGCTTTTATTTTTTATATTTGTAGTTTTTTTTTTTGCTTTTATTCAATTTGCTTTTATTTCCGTTTTTTAAGTACTTCAACTGAAACATATTTTATTTCAGTTTGTCGCCAAAGGAGACATAGAGATGGAGTAGAGTACAGGAAATAGAAGTACAGAAGAGAGTCATAGCAACATGGTCCAAAAAAAAAAAAAAATGCTGGCTTTACCCACCAGAATGTATCAGTCATTTTGTCACTTTATTAGGTTGCTTTGGTAAAACCCATTTGTTAATTGGTATGTTAAGAATATTATTATATAGACCCAGGGGTGGGGAATATACCAGTAGATTTTTGTCTAGCCTATCGCAGGTTTAAAAATGAGTGATTCATCTAAACGAAAGAAAACTCATTTTGCTATATAAGACAGTACTCCTAGAGTGCGAGATTATTGAACTGAGCTCTTTTTTCCACTTTATAGGCCTTGAATGGTTAAATACACACACTTGTATGTGTCAAAATTCCCGTCTTTGCAAGTATCCTCATAAACACAGTAGTTTAGGTCTTAAGTGAAAACAAACAGCTGAGAAAGAAAACATATGTAACATCCGGTCAGCTCTTAAAGTGACAGCAGCCTAATATTCCTGCTGTCTGTCATTCATGTTGATCAAACAACAAAAGAGAGAGAGAAAAAAACTGCACTTGACTAAATCACTTTAATAAGAAGACATATATAGATTTTATTTACACAGTGAAGAATATGCAGTGTTTTTTTATACATTTTATTACTTTATACAATTATGCAGCATTTATTATTTATTTGTTCAATTCTAG